CCCTTGGGTCGAGGCGCGGCGCTTCAGATGGCAAGCCCTAAAACCCTAAAACCCTAAACGCTAAAACCCTAAAGCCCTAAACCCTAAAACCTAAACCCCTAAAACCTAAAACCCTAAAACCCTTTTTTCGCCCTGGTTACTTCAAAGCCCAGGATGGGCCCCGCCAACGACGGGAGCTGTGGGGAGCAGACCTGGGGGCTCTTCGAGCCCGACGGGCCCCCTTGGCTTTAGGGTTTATAAGGTTTTTATAGGGTTCTTTAGGGTTCTTTAGGGTTTATAGGGTTTGGAGGGTTTAGAGGGTTTAGGGTTTAGGGTTTAGAGGGTTTAGGGTTTAGGGTTTATAGGGTTTATATAGGGTTTATAGGGTTTCTAGGGTTTCTAGGGTTTAGGCTTTAGGCTTTAGGGCTTGGGGTGTAGAGTTCAGGGTTTAGGGTTTAGGGTTTAGGGTTTAGAGTTCAGGGTTTAGGGTTTATGGGGGCTAAGAGAGGGGGTGTTCTTGAATCCTCGTGGTCGTTGAAGGGTTCAGCCTTTGGGGTGCGTCCCTCTCTCTCTCTCTCTCTCTCGCTCTCTCTGAGACCCCAAACCCTAAACCCTAAACGCTAAACCCTAAACCCTAAAGTCTAAACGTCTCTCTCTCTCTCTGTGTATTGGTGTTGTTACCAAGGCCGAACTAAGGTTCTGGCCAGAAGGGTTTTTGAGGGCTTGTAAGGTACTATGAGGGTTGATCGGGTTTTGGGGAAGCCCCCCTATGCGTCCAAGGAAGGAACACACCTTACCATTAAATCCTGTATAGTTGTCATTGGACCCTAAAAGCCCTAAATCCCGAAGCCGGAAACCCTCAACCCTACAGTATTGGGGGGGAATCCATCGTTTTTGAGGAAACTTCAGGTGAGTAGTCTTCTTGCCAGACATGACCCAAGAGGAGTACTGATAGACGGTGTGGCATGAAGCATAAGCCCTAAACTAGGCCCTAAACCCTCAAGCCAGCCTCGCAACAGCGATGACAACTAGGAGACTAATTCGGGGTTAAGGGTTTAGGGTTTAGGAGTTGCTTGGTTGGTAGGGTGAAGGGTGCGTGGAATTCAGCACTCCTATCCACACCCAATAACCCAACATCTTTCAACCCTATCCCTCAGGATCCAGCACCTTGTGAATCTATATCATGCGTGAGAGCACAAATTTGTAGAGAATCCCGGAAGTTCGTGATGAGTAGGTTGAACACAGAAGCTGCAAGACCAAGACCGCCAAACCCGAGGGTTATGCCACCAGACTAAACCCTAAACCCTGAACCCTGAACCCTAAAACGGTTTTAGGTTTAGGGTTTAGGATTTAGGGTTTAGGGTAAACCCTAAAACCCTAAAACCCTAAAATCAGACTCAGATCAAGAAGAGAACGACCACCCCCCCTTTTTTCTTACGCGTCTTGCAGCCCAGGTCGGCGGTGTGCGAAGACATCTGGGACATCTGACAGTACTAACTGAGGGGTTTAGGGTTCAGGGTTTAGGGTTTAGGGTTTAGGCTTTAGGGTTTAGGGTTTGGGGTTTAGGGTTTAGGGTACAGGGTTTAGGGCCTATGAATAGTGATAAACACGACAGTAACATGCGTACTACTAGAACTACAGTATTAAGGTAATGGTTCTCATGATACTCATGGTAATGATGATGAGCAAAGAAGGCGGCTTGAGGACAATTCCCTAAGCCCTAAACCCTAAGCTCTAAACCGTGCCCAAAGTGGCCGCGGCTCGCGAGAACAGGTCGCGACCCGCTGAGACCTTCGGAGAGCGCTCGGCGCCTTCCTGTCAGAAGCACGCGAGTGTTTAGGGCTTGGGGTTGAGGGTTCAGGGTTCAGGGTTCAGGGTTTAGGGTTTAGGGTTTAGGGTTTGGGGTTCAGGGTTTAGGGTTTAGGGTTCAGGGTGTAGGGTCTAGAATCAGGGTTTAGGGTTCAGGGTTTAGGGTCTAGGATCAGGATTTAGGGTCTAGGATTGAGGGTTCAGGGTCTAGGATGTAGGGTTTAGGGTCTAGGGTTTAGGATGTAGGGTTTAGGATGTAGGGTTTAGGGTTTAGGGTTTAGGATGTAGGGTTTAGGGTTTAGGGTCTAGGGTTTAGGATGTAGGGTTTAGGGTTTAGGATAAAGGGTTTAGGGTTTAGGGTTTAGGGTGTTCGGAGTCAGCGTCTGGGCTCGGTTCCGGGTTTCTTGGGTATTTGGATATGAATTTGGGAGTTCGCTGTTCCGACTTGGTCAAACAAGGACCGTACTTAGAGGTTCAGGGGACTTAGTAAGTAGCCTTTATAGTTATAGGAGTCATATAGGGGCTATACTTAGATGAAACCATAGCTACCTTTCTTATGACCCTACTGACTACGCCCCCGAAACCTCGACAAGATGCCATCGGCGCGGCCTCGATTCGGTGGCTCAAGCTGCGTCGGACGAGGGCATGCAGCTGCGTGAGAGGTGGAGAGGAATTTTTACTTAGTCCTCCTCTGCTGCTCTGTCTGATCCCTAAGCCCTAAGCCTCACACCCCACACTCTGGTCACCAGTCAGCCAGTCTTGGTTGCTCAATTCCTTGTTGTCTCTTGGTATCTTGGGCCCTCGCTCGGCCGAATCATGCTAGCTCTGCGTCGATGGCTGGTGGTCGTTGTGACACTGACCGGTCTGGGAATGTGGCTGGCTCAGACGAACAGCTTCACCGTTGCTGCTACATCCCTGGCCTCCTTCCGCACACAAGCGGCAGCAGCTTTCAGCGCCGTGACGGAGACTGGCAATGAGACTCCGCAGGAGACTCCCACCGGCGCTGCAGAATCCCCGGTTTCAGCGGAAGAGGCCCCAGCAGACGATGTCGATGAGGACTTCTCCGAAGAGGATCTGCTGGAGCTGCCGCTCCCCAGCATCTGGAAGAAGGTCGCCTCTCCCAGGGGCCTTGCAACCGTGGCCAGGGCCGTGTGCCAGTCGCTGGGCAACAGGACGCGAAGCTCAGAAGGGAAGGGATCCTCCACCGACCCGTAGGAGCCTGACATGCCTCATGTGGTGCGGTTTTTATATACTTTGCCCTAAACCCTAAACCCTAAACCCTAAACTTTGCACCTCGAAGTTCAAAGACCTCGAGCCTCAAAAGCCGAAAACTCCGTAGGAAGTCCCCGGCAGGACCTTGCCATCCTTGTTCGAGGGCCTTTCCGGCAGGAATGGCAGTCTGCAGGATTGGCCGCTGCTCTCCGAGACCCAGAAGCCATCAAGGTTAAGGCTTAGGGCTTAGAGTTTAGAGCTTAGGTTTTAGGGTGTTAGGGTCTAGGGCTTTAGGGCTTTAGAGGATCTGCGGTTTAGAATTCGGGGTTCAGCACTGAGCAGAATAACAATACCACAAGACGAGCTTGCATCTTTGCTCGTAGTATGCAGGAACCCCAAAGGAAGCTGAATCTTAAAATCAACAACAACCATTCAACAATGTGTACACGACTGTAAGGTGTGTTCGTCCAAAAAAGCCCGGTGGAAACCTGTTCCGTATGAGCTCGTAAACCCTAGGCCCTGAGATGCCAACCCCTAAACCCTTAGCCCCACACCGTCCCTATTCCCTACATCATACACCACAAAAGCCTAAAGCCTAAGGCCTAAACCATGAACCTTAAACTGGAACCAGCGCGAGAGGAGGCCACGGATCGGGCTTGTGGGTTCCCCTGCCGCCAGTCCTCCGGGGTGTGGGAGGCGGTGGAGAGCTTTTCGCTGAAGGACCGGGGATTTTTTTTGGCCCCTTTGGGTTTGGGGTTTAGGGTTTAAGGTTTAGGGTCTAAGGTTCAGGGTTTCGGTTTCGGGCTGGTGGGGCTGAACTGGGCTTTCCATGGTCGACAGCCTTAGGCGGAAGAATTGCTAATGTTACTACTAAACCCTAAACCGTTTAAAGCCTAAGCCCGAAACCCTCAACCCTAAACCCTAAGCCCTTAGCCCGAAGCCCTAAACCCTAAAACCCAAAACCCCAAAACGCAAAACCCCACAAGCCTCTAGTAGAAATCCCAAAAGCGATTTTTGATGTCTGCTCGCAGGAGAGAGTGTGGCTCGGGTTCATGGTGGTGCAGATGCGCAATGGCTCCCATGTCTGAAACTAACAGGGGCTTTGGGTTTAGAGGTTTAGGGTTTAGGGTTTAAAGTTTAGGGGAAACACACTCACCCCCAAAAAATCCTCAAACCTAAACGGCTTTTGTGGCGTGTGTGTGTGTGTGTGTGTGTTTCGAAATAAGAAGCCTTGAACATGTAGGTCGCATGAACTTCACGTGATAAGTTGACCCCAGCACCCTGGACCCTAAACCCTTAAACCCTCAGCCGTGGTTGTAGGAGAACCCAACTATGCTATTTAGAGTCATTTAGAGCTTAAGCTACAAGACCGTGTGATCGAGGGGTTTGATACGCGTTTGCATTTTGCAGGACTTTAAAGGTTTTTAATCGGATATATCCGATTTGCTGGACTCCTTAACAGATTCCAGTGTTAGATGCAGTCACGCTGGAGATCAAAAGCAATCTTATGAATCATTAGGTGGCATTTCTTGAAGTTAGGGGTCCCTTATCACCATCATCACATCATCCAGTGCGCATTGGCCGTGGTAGGGATGCGGTGATGGCGGTGTGACGTTGGTTGTGAGGATGCCGCCCAACTCCCCTTCTCTTCCCTGGGCAGTTGAGGTAGCACTCTCCCGGGAAATGGCAGCTGCCGACCAGATCAGCCTCCGCATCTTGCCTTCCATTTAATACAGAAGCCCGAAACAATGTTATTTTACCCCCAAGCCAGGTTATATTCATTGTGGCTCCTAGATTGTTGGTTTTGGGCGTCTGGGGGTCTAATAGTTTGGGCAGGGTATCAGATTTTGTCGTTGTATAGCTTTTGGTGGGTGTTCGGCGGCTTGATAATATTTCAGCATGTGACTTTAGGTTTGGGATGTGGGTAGGGTTTCGCAGTTTCAAGATGGTTTGTTCAGGGCTTTGTGGTTTAGCAGATTGGGATGACGAATGGCTTCGTCGTAGAGGTATTTGCTCACAAATGGTGTTAGGGACCCTAAACTACAACGCGGTAAAACCCTTGTGCCTGCAGAGCGAACCAACAACCGGGTCAGTGTTTGGAGGTTCTGGGTTTCGAAGCTTTAAGCCCTGAGCCGCGAAAGTCTACTCACCATGCGCCAGCCAACATCAGACCAGGCAGGCCAGCTACCAGAAACCCTAAACCCTAAACATTCATCCCAGTGACTGCAGAGCGCCCTGAGTTGATGGGGTGCCCCAAGCAGGAGCCCGCCCTTCCCCACGTCCTTGAACCCGAAACCCCGAAGCCAAAAACTCCAACCCTAAGCCTTCGACGCTCGAGCCTGAACCCATAAACACCATAAGCATGTAATGATATGTAATGTAGTGTAATGTAATGTA